TACATCGTTTTGACCTTTTCCTGCTTTATAAGTAAACTGGCTTCAATCAAACTATGTTCAAATCTTGTTGACTAATGGAGCAGTAACCGTCCTCATTGAACATCCTTTTTAATCTGCACAAATCTCCCATTTACCACCACATTTCCCCCCCATTATGCTTGAAAGAGGTCATCAAACTCCCCCCAGCATCTTTTCAGTTGTCTCACCTCTCACAAATAGGTTCAGAATTTTCCTTTTTGAGGTCTTTTGTGTTTTTTTAAGCACTTGAAATGAATGCAAATGGACTTCTTTCTGCTTGTGAAGACATTTTACTTCCCATCCAAGTGGCTTCTTTAGTTCTAGAAACTAATGGAGAGTCTTGGGTATTTTACCCCTTGTGGGATTGTCTCCATTGAAGAGATCCTGAGAGTCACCATCTTTGTCATTGTGAGTTACATGAGCCCAGGTGTGAATCAAGGTAGGTCATTACTGTCACAGAGGCCAAGCTGTGAATCCCTTTGGAGACACTGTCCTACCATGTCATGTTGGAAATAATTAAGGTCACATGGGTTATGGTGTGAGTGGGGATTGAATCACCTGGAAAGGGATCTCCAGACTGTGTTATAGGTGACTGATGACTGGTGCTCTAGGACACCAGCAGTCTAACAGCGGTCATTCAGTGTGGACATAAATAGCCTCCTTTATTCCCGTGTCCTCTCTGCTTTAGCTGAAGATGTATACTGCGTTGTGTGACGTGTCACGCGTGGTTCTTTGGTCTCGCCCGTGTAAAAGTCCAAACGCTCCTCAACACATTGCACAATGTACACATGTGTTGTTTTGTCTCATCTTGTGTTGTTAGGTCTGAAGCACACTGGGCTGTTACGGTTCTGAGTTTCTCTGACAGACCTGCCAAATGAGGGACAATATTAATCCATTTCTCCCTGGTTAGGGCATCTCCACTGATTTAGTGCAAACCCAGTATGGTTTTAGATATGGAAACATTCCTGATTCACTTCTTGAATGGTGAGAAGGGTGCTTTGCAGTTCATATTTAATAAAGCTAGCAGTTCAGGACCTGCCAGATTCTCAAGGTCTTAAATTAGAGACTCTGAGGAGCCTGTGTTATCAGTTATGCACCAGTGTTTCCCACTTCTTTTGAATTCTGGCTGGAGCCGGTTTTCCCTCTTCTGCAAGGGGAGTGGTGAAAATTGTTGTATGAAATACTGTTTCTTCTTGTCCCACGTGGAATAGCTTGAATTTATTAGCACAAGCACGCTAATGAAGGTCCTTTAATGAACCATTTTGAGACTTAGAACCAAACCCCCAAAAGACTCAGCTAAACATATTACTTCATTAATCAGCACAATGGTTTTTAGGTATGACAACATAACATGAAAAAGTTTTCCTATTTAGCAATTGTCCTTTTTTGCATCATAAATTCGTAGAAGCGACATAATGTGACATTTGCTGAAAAAGGGCCTTGCACACCTATGTAGATTTTTACGTTTGCGTTGCTATTCATGTGTCCAAGTGAAGAGACTGTACAGACGGAGCAGTCTTGAGAAAAAAAATGACATTTTATTGAATCTGCAGAATCATAAGTACAATTTGAAGTGCTGTATCAGGGCAACAGGAGATGATATCAGGTCCTTAATCTGAGGATGTATTCAGAGTGTTGAATACATGTGTATGTCAATATGCATATGGTTTTTTTTTTCTTTAAAAAAATAACAAAATTATATCAAAAACAATTTAAGATGGAATGCACAAAAACTGGTCTGAATGCTAAACCTGCAATTGTGGATTATATGATTTCACTCTGCAAAGTCTACAGTATATAACCAGTATCATAGAAGCAGGGAATGATTCATCAGAAGAGCAGGAGCCTACGATGAAGGCTGGAGGAAAGAGGGACTGCAGCAGGAGGTTGGACAGCATAAGAAGACAGAAACTGAATGGAAGCAGGGTTATGATATGAATTTAGGGTTCAGTAGTGATGCCAGAGCAGAGGAGCGGTATTTGGCGCAAAGAGGTTAACTCCTGACTAAAATCCAGGTCAGACAAACAACTTGCCGCCTCTCACAGACTGGGAAATCGAGAGGATCGCCACCCTCAGTCGCCCCCTCTCCCCCCAGCCTCGCACGCTTACATCTTCGCACACACAGTGCCTTAACAAATCCATCCTGAGCCACACTTAAACAATACTGGCTGTCTTTGGCCATTCCCCCCCCTCCCTCCCTCCCTCATTTTATCCACACCACCACCTAACAACAATCAACACACTTGAGATAAGTTTGGACTGGACGCAATCCGGAATCTACCAGTGTGAGTAGTTTCGTTGATAATTAAATTTGAGCAAATGCACCATCAGCCAGGAACAACAATCATTTCACTCAAAGCCAAACCACAAAATTCCTCAATTTACCCCAGAGATACACACAACCGTGAGCTCTAAACCAGCTTTCCCATCTAGCGTCTGTTTTGCAAATATCCTGTTGTCGAATAGAGATTAATGCAAAATGCAGGAAAGATGCTGTACAGTGTGTTCATTCGTTCTCATTTATTAGAAGATTAGAAGAGTCTTTTTTTTCTAATTCAGTGACTTTTTTTTCCATCAGCACTGTCACAATTCATGACATTAGAGAGTTTGATTGTTCAACACCAACTGACAACGTGCATCAACCGTGAGTCAGCTTTTAAAAATCACAGAACTTCTCCACATTCACAAAAATATTGAAACGCTTTTATCTGCAGGCAAGCCACTTCCCAGAGCACCGTGACCTGTAAAAACAATTCCCCCTAACTTACATTTATGATACATATACAATTGTACAATGTCATCTAGCTACATAGTGAGAGCCTTGTTTCACTTAATGAAGCCGAAATCCCCTCCCTCCCCGCTCCCCAGCTCCACTGTAAGGATGGCCCCACCCTGATCGCTCATGTCTGTGACAGTCACAGTGCATCACAGGAGAATGAAACTGCAAGAAAAGGGGAAAGGTGCATAAGGTCAGGGGCCTGTGACATTATTTACACCACAGAGGAATGGCAACAATAATGACAATTACACGTGTTATGGTTTTAACAGAAATACTGTGTCGCAGTCTTTCTGTGGAAGAGCCAGCAACGCAAACGCTTCATTTTACGCTCAAGAACCAGTTTCAACATTTAGCTGCCAGCGAGCGGTGGCTGGCTTGTTGTCGGGATTGGCCTGGCACATGTGCCGCCCTGGCTCAGGTGGCACCTGCCTTTAAAATGAACAGAGCATGCGATAAAAAGCAACTTTCAGGTGTATTTTAAATGATTCTTTTTCTAAATTCTCCCTTCTTTGAAGCTGCAGAACAATGAAACTGTCTTTAACAACAAGCAGTTAGCGCTGTCCTGAAACTCCAAGTAATTATCCCATGACTGATCTAATACAGTGACTACAAGAGTCTCCATAAATACTCCTTTTCTGTCTTGCAAACTGAGTTGCTGGTTTATTTATTAAATACACAGATCTGTTTTTTTTTCTCAAAACAAACATCTAATAACAACAAGGACAGTTCAGGAAGAAAAGAGCGAGAGAAATGACAACATCTACCACAGCCATAAAAAAAAATCTCACATTAAATGAGAAAAAAAAAGAAAAAAAAAAGACTGGAATGTACTCTTTCAAAAATGGTGGAATGAATTTCAAATAAACGATTCACAATATCGAGTTGTGCTTGGCCTTGTCTTTTATAAAGGATTTCTGTGATGGTGATTTTTTTTTTCCTTAGCAAAGGGGAAGAGCCATTTCCCCCCCAAAACAGCTTAATCTTGATCACCATATCTTTGTGATTCTCACAGGACTGAAGGCATTTAGGCTGCAAAATCAGGAATAAACGTGTATACTGTACATGCAGACGTGTGTTCAGTGTAACTGCAAGAGAAAGACTGATGAAGTCCCCTAACGTGTCCCTGATCCCTCCTGTATCCAGGAAGCCTGTGTAAGGCTCAACAGGAGGTGCTCTACAGTTAGGTCATTATTCCAGTTTGACAACAGCACAGTGCTGAACATGAGGGTGCCTACTTGAGCAGACTGGCGAGATGTGTGTCCATCTATAAATATATTTAAAAAACCTCTCTGTTAAGACTGAAAACTGGCTGACTGATGCAACAGCGTTGGAGGTTAAAGGAATGTACTCAAGTGAAAAAAAAAAATCACGCTAAGACAGACTGAGATTCTATACACTGTTTTTCCAGTCTGGCCAAGATCACGCTGCAAAATTAAAGAAAGAAAAAGACAAGTAAATGGACCCATTAAAACGCCATTCAAACACACTTTGAGCTAGTTTCTTCACTGAATTGTGTCTGCAGGTTTACTCACTTCAGGGATATCTTTTTTTCAAAAAACAAACAAACATTTTCTTCAGTATTTTTGCATGTTTTAGTGGTAGGATTGCTAAGTGGCGTAGCTAGGATGGAGCTGTGTGACACGGCACGGACCCCTGACATACTGCAATGAACTGTGAATTCATCTTTGAGGACTTTCCATTCCCACTTGCAGCTGCATGAGAGTGGAGTCAGGATGGGGATAAAGACAAAGAGGATGACGAACATCCAAATAGAGAGACATTAGCACAGACGGACGAATAGAGAAGCAGGCAGGCAGATAGACAGACAGAAGGACAGACAGCTAGATAGAGGGTGTGTGTCTGTGGCTGGCGAACAGTGAGAGCAGAGCAGGGATGTAGAGGGGGAAGGGGTTCAGGGTCTCTCAGGGCAGGTTAGGGAACAAGAGTAAAAATAAGAGAAAGCGGCGCTAAGATGAGATGGCACTGGGCTTTTCCTTTCCTACTTTCCCTCCCTTTCTCTATCTCCTCCTTTTTCTCTCCCTCTTTTTCTTCTCCTCTAGCTCAGATGGCCTCCACGTAGTTGGCAGGCAGCATGCCCTGCTGGCCGGTACGCTCCACGCGGCCATACATCCAGCCTTCATCAATCTGCTGCACGTCTACGATCACATCTCCGTCCATAAAGGAAACTTCATCCTCATCGGCGGCAGAGTAGTCATATACTGCCCTGTATCGCTTCTGTCAGCAAAAAAGAATGAGCTTGGTTAGTTTATAAACGGTTACAGTCTGCTGACAATGAGCTTAATCATCTTGGAAAGAATGTGTTTTGCTTTTGTGTTATTAAATTACAACAAATCTTCTGATTCTTGTTAGGTTTTGGAATCGGTGAATTTAATTAGAAGAGTGAAGGATGTACCCCAGCACTGGGAGGCGGGGCAGCGGCTGCCTGGCGCACTGGTTCAGGAGCAGGATCATAGTGGTAGTTCTGAGTGGCTGCAGGCTGCTGGTAACCACCTGGTGAAGGAGTACAGGGATAATGAAGGAGTTACAATCATAAGCAGTGCTACTTATAATTGGTGCTTTAACCTACACAAAAGGTCATTTATGGCTGTATGCGGCTCTGTGATTTTTTAAATCATAAAAAGTAGCATCAAATTCTGCTACCTTGCAAAGTTTTAAGAGCACTTGCCCATTGCTGTGGCAAGGATTAAGGAGGGTGGGATCACTTAATACAAAAAATATTTTAATTATTATACAAGCTCAAGATGTTTGCATACATTTTGTTTTAACTACAAACAAAGTAATAAAGGATGCGAAAAATAAAAACAAAACACTCTTAATACTTTAGTCAATTTGTTGTTGCTAACGTTATTAAAGAGTCACCAGCTCATCTTTGTTTTGGTGCCACTCAAACACATGTTACCGTTTAAAATGCATTTCTGCTCTAGCAGTTCTAAAATGAAGAGAAACTGTCTTAAGAAGCGAGAGACAATAAATAAATTGTGTAAATAAAAGGTCATTTTGTTTGTACAATACCATATTTGCATAAAAATGACAGAACTGTAATTAAATTAAAAAATCTCGCTTAACAGGTAACAGTATAGTTAATATAAACACAATACCTATTAAAATGTTCTCCTGTATAAAATAATGGGGTCAGAAATGACCTGACTTGGTTACACACAGTAGGTTGCACATACATAAAGTTCACAACTACACAATTCAGGTACACGACCCATAAATAATTAGATAAATGACTATAATCACTAATAAATACGTGTAGGAATATTAAGACGCAGGTTTATTTAAAAAAAAAAAAAAAAAAAAAAAAAAAAAAGCACTGAGAAAAATCTGACTACTGAACACTGAGAAAATGTAAAAAGCTCCACAAAGGCTAAATTCAGAAGTTTGTAAACATTGACTCAGTACAGTCTATAATTAGATATTCATTTCCATGTATTTTTTATGCATACAAGCTGTGTATTTATTGTTTGTTTGTGCAAAAGCTCTTTTACAGTAAATGCTAAAAAAACAAACCCTACATGGCAAGCCAAGGCACGCATGCTCTTGATTCACAACCCTCTAAACAATGACCTTCTGTGTAAAGGTGTCGAACTGGCACACGAAATACAAATAGCAGGCTGACTAGTCATTCCTCTTCCTAATGCTGAAAGCACTGTTCTGACATAACTGCTCCTGTTGTTGTTTGCAATTATTACTGCAAAGTTTCTGTGTCTGAGCTTCAGCAAACAATTGTTTGACTTGAGTAATGAATAAAAACAGATTATGTACAATTATGATTTCGGCTGTGATTGTGAAACAGAATTATGCTTGCAGTAATGTAGTCATTTATGGCTAAGAAGATTAAAAAGCAGAGGAGTGCAGTGAAGAACTTGAGCTCCTATAGCCTCTGGGAGGGAGGAACCAAGCGCAGACAAGCCAAGAAAGCTAAAGAAAAACGTAAGGCTTTTTGTTCTCTAGTTCATGTACATTTTCCAGTTCAGAATCCAGCTACACAGATATTTTTGTGGATTCAGACTGTGCTTTCTTCACTTCTGCCTTCTACTTCTCTGCTACATTTACTAGTAATTGCTGGTCATACCTGCACTGGGGTTGCTTGGCAGATGTTGTGGACCCTCTCCTCCGATCTTCTTCTTCTCAAATTCCTCATGGTACTTAATCTGCAATGCACAAACACAAACAGGTCATTCATGAAGATGAGGAATAATGCACCTTCTCTTAGGAGATTCAAATCCTTTCAAGTCTTTTCTAGATTCAAAAAGGACTTGTAGCTATGTACAGTTCCTTTTCTATCCACCAGGGGTCTCCCACTTGCTCTCTAGCTTCTCAGTGTCTGTGGAGATAGGTGGGGCGCACTATTTGCAGCAAATGCTCAGGGAAGCAGCTTGATGTTGAGAGGAAATGACATCTCAGGTACCGGAAGCAGTGTAAGGACGTAGGTGTATAGCAACGGCTTGTTGACACATCAGACAGGTGAAACATACACACAAACGCACACCAAAAAAAAAAAAAAAAGCAGCGGAGGAGTACAGAGAACAAGTCACTCAAATCCCCGAGTCTTACACACTCGCTTGGAATGACAGGGCAAGACTCAAAAGGAACTACTGAGAGGAAAAGGAGAAGGGTGGGGTTGTATGACTAAGCATATGAAATGGAATCAAGTTTAAATTAAAGTACTACAGTCTCAAGTGTAAGTGAATAGAGAAAACCTAGATTTTTTTTCATTCTGTAAGCCATACGCTGAGTTATAACTGAACAAAAACAAAAAAGCAGCACAATTAGATGTTTAGGCAGACTTTATGACCATTTCTCCAGCCAGTGCGACAAAGGCTGTGTTCAGTGTTTCAAAATCAAACAGGCAGCACTGATGAAACAGAAACTGAGTGACTGCTCTATTTAACCCGTCTCCTTATTACCAGACTGATAACAGACTTACTCAACAGTTCTTCGGTCAAGATTTACAACCCTGTATTCTGTTCCCGCTTATGCTCAAAGAGCCCACTGTGCTGCTGGCGTCAGTGAGGAGTGTATTCACCGACTGGATGGGACGACGGAGTGTTTGTGCAAGGACAGTGAAGCGAGTGACTGGGAGAACACAGTGGCTATTCTCAAGTGCAATATGCTAAGTGAGAGTGTGTGAGAGAGATTATTTTAGTTTGTTTTGAAGAAGCAGGTTGAACAGATGGTGTGTTTGTGTGTGGATTTACAGGACTTGCCCTAGCTGCTGCTGAACTACCCCCGACCATCCCCCCTGATTCATCTCAATCTTTGCTGGTGGCAGGAAATATAGAAGGATGGACCGAGAGATGTGGCAAAGAGAAGGGCAAAACAGAGAGATGAGACTAGAAGAGGGTTTATTGCACTTTGTTTCTCAGTGTCCAGAGAAGAGAAATAAAAGACACTAATGTTCATCTGCAGTGGCTCCTTTATGATTGGCTGTGAATGACAAATTGATTGCAAGCAGATGTCTCGTTTATCAGCTTCAACTAAAGCCACTTCACGATGCGCTTAAATCTATCCTTAAACAGTGAAATTGTGGCTTGTGTGCGCGCCCATAAACGCATATAATATATGTGTTTGTTTTCCTGCTTTGCTGACTTCCTTAATCTCCAACATGCAAGATCTTCATCACATGAAAACTGTAATTATCCATCACCCTCCACACCAATTATGCCATTAGCGAGGCCAGTGCAGAGCTCGGTATGTATGAAGAGGTGTCTTTGTTTTGTCAGTTTGTTTCACATAGAAAGAAAGGTCTTTGCAGCTGACTTAAGCAGATTGGGGGACACAAGGTGAACAATATAAACATTTCTACATTCCTGTCGTATATTTACAGAGAAATGGCAAATCAATCAATAACAGGGGCAGAGGGAGAGGAAAGTGAAGGCGATTGGACCCAATGAAAAGTGAATGGGAGAGAACTCCTTTACCATGTATAAGGAGCAATAAGAGCAAGTAAGAGGACAAAAGGATTTTAAAAGCAACAGTATACAAAAAAATTGTAGAACTTGAGATCTTAATCTGGGGAAATTCTCTGAGGCTTGAGCTGGAGGAAGTGAGACCAATTAGGTAATGTAACAGAAAATGATGACAAAAATGTGCCACGTTATTCTAGTGGCTTCCAAAGCTTTCATTTGAAGCATAATGAGTTTTAAGTTTTTTTTAGTTTTAAATAAATAATAATAAATAGTGTTTTAAAGGAAATCAAGTTTTTTTGTTTTAAATAAAAAAATAAACCTTGGCTTTAATTTTTCACATTTTCTGCCACTTACTTTCTCTACTCTGCTTCATCTCCAGCACTCGCTAAAGGTCATGTAATACGTGTTTAAGGGCAAGTTATTACGCGCTGAGATTATTTCTAAAACAGTATCAAAACACTCATCTGAACAGAGATTGTAAAAATGCTAATAAAATAAAAATGTGTTGTTGTGATTACAGCCTGGCGTGGCACAGACAGCTGTCCCCTGGGATTTACAGTTGTTTTGCAGATGCCTGCTATCAGGATTGGTGCTGTTGCTCCTTCCTCAATATAAATTGCTACATTTTTAACAAATTATTTGTTTTGCTTTCCTTGTACAATTTTCTAATTTCCCATGCTGCACTCAACAATCATGGCATGCTCAGTTGCCTAGCAATGCTTATCCATTAGTAAGAGACATTTTGATAAGCAGGCTGCCATATCTTAAACCAGCGGTCCCCAACCCCCGGGCCTCGGACCGGTACCGGTCCGTGAGTAGTTTGGTACCGGGCCGCGAGAGTTGAGGCTCAGGTGTGAAATGTATGGTTTTCAGGGTTTTTATCGGTTTTCAGTGTTATTTTGTTATCGTTTTTATCGTTAACTCGGTTTTCCTGGGTCTTTTCACGTGTGTTATGAATAAATCTTCTTTTTTTCGGTACCGGTACTAGTTTTATTTTGTTGTATTTATCCGCGACACCTTAAAGGCCGGTCCGTGAAAATATTGTCGGTCCGTGGCGCAAAAAAGGTTGGGGACCGCTGCCATAGATGACTAGATTAGATCGATAGATGCATATAAAGTGGTATTTATTTTAGTGAAAAGATGAATAATTATGGGAGTTGTAACTGAAACTGGTAACAGTAGATGACTGACCAACATGGAGAACCTAGCGAGTTAAGTACCACAGTAGCTGTCTCAGTAGACTCCCGAGTGTGGAAAACAATTCAGACTAAGTCAAGTGAACTTCGGAGTGGACTAACTGAGTCTGGTGGATTCTCAAGATTCTCAAAAGTCTTTAGACAACGAGGTAATGCAGAAATATTGATTTTTTTTTTAATCGTATTGGCTGATCTTAAATCTTATGTTGTGGTAGCCATTCACAGTGTCCTCACTCAATAACTGGACCCATTCCAAACATTTTGGTCCCAATTAAAAATTTACACCCAAAAGATTAAAAATGCCACCGCTTCCCTTTAAAGCAGTGAAATCAGTAAATCTTAAAGAACTGAAGAGCCGTTTGCTGAGTACTTCATGTAGACCAATCATTCTCCACAGAAGAAATCCTCAGTTCAATATTGGCAAAGAGATTATAGTCACACAGGGAAACTAATCAACACAGAGCAGACTGGCTTCATACCAGGCTGTCAGGGTGGGGGGGGAAACACAGAAAGAGCTCCAAATATTCAGTCTGCTTTATTATTAAGATGTTGAGAAATAAACAAACAAGTGGAGTGAATGGAGTACTTGCTTTGGTGACGCTTACATTGCTGATTTGGTCCTGCGTTTTCTTAATTCTTTGCATCTCTGGTGTGTCTGCGACCACGCTGAAACCCTTCCCTTTATTCTTCTCAAAATCCTCCCTGTAAAGAACCTGCACAACAAAACAGGATCGTGTTAGAAATAAAGGCAAGGTCAACACGTAAGGCAAATTACATGTAAAATGAATTATACATTGACATCAACAGTTTCAGTTTAGTGAGTCAACAAGGAAAATCCAGCAAATGCAGTGGAAATGGTTATTTATAGATGCAGTGACCTAGATTCTTTCAACAAATCATATTCAACATTTTGAGGATTCATAATGGAGACTTGGTATTTTCCTGCACCTCTGAAATTAATTTACAACTCATATATAAAATTGTAAAAAGCAACAAAAACTAAAAATCGTGAAATAAAATTCTTGTTTTTGCTAATGTCAGTGCTGAGTTTTGCTGAACTAAAGCTTTGGGTTTATAAAATTCTTTGGAAGGAAGGAAGAAAATTCTTTTATTGGCAGCTCGATCACAGCTCAACCACAGCTCAACAACATGCGATGGACTAACATGATAATGTTGACAAGTCGTCTCTGGGAAACTGACATTCGTTTATATTTTGCATCTTCTTTTTTGGGTATTTCCATAAGAAGGCTAGCTGAAATTTAAACAAATGTACCAGATTCTACTACAACAGCAGCCCAAATCTACACACTGCCTCTGAGGCTGAAAATTCCCTTCACACCACACATGATTCGGGGCCCTGCATCCAGAGGGATATCTGAATGTGATTATTTTGTAATATGTTCTTGAGATCGACAAGATGTCTCACATTTTTTCTTTTTTTCAGTTTGATATGCACAGGAAAAGCACCCATAAAATTACAGGACACAATTATCCACAAACTGGATCAATCACATTAACTACTAATTATAGTTTTATGACCATTTAATTGTATTTGTTTACTTATATCTCTCACTATAAAGCATAAGCTTGACGACAATACAACAAAGTTGCTTTTGGCCTTTACTAGTCAAATTTTACGTTTTCTGCAAATTCAATAATCTTGTATGCATCAAATAGGCTCTCAGTTTGTGTTGTATGCACAAACTGAGTAGGGTTTGCCCTGCATATATTGCTTTGTCTTCTGTGGTGACGTTAACTTCCTGCCTGCTTGAGTGAGTGAAGGCCTTACATGCAGGACGTGGTAGTAACCATATATGGTTAAAATGAGAGGTACTGTGCAACAAACAGTGTCAGCGTGTGTGTGTGTTATTTTCCAGCCTTCCCACCCTATTCTGACCCTAAGGGGCAGAGAGGAGGAAACGTCCTGCCCATGTAACGTCAGATGGGAATCAGAAATGACAAAGCTCTCCCTCACTGCTACACCGTGGGTGATCACTCAAAGCCACAACCACATACACCACTTAACAAACCTGAAACAGGAAAACACATTTTATTTCTGAACTAAAGCTGTAACACATTTTAGCGCTTCTCTCTGTCATCTTTTCTGAGAATTTTAGACTCCACCCCCCACACTGAAACTCTGTCCCTGCCTCCATGGTGACTGCACTGATTTCCTGCACTCCTCCAAGACTGAGGGCGCCTGCTTGCACAGTCCATTACCAGGAAACAAAGCTTCACCCTTGCATCCTCTCCCCTAGATATCCACATAATGCCTGACACTGCTCAATACAGTGACCAATCCTCCCTCTCATCTCCCGGAGCCTTGTGATGACACAATGTTACTGTGATTCACAGCTAATGTGCACGAGTGCGTAGGTGATGCGCTGTAATTGGTCCATATCTGCCGTCACCCTCGGTGTGACGTCCACTGAGAAAATGAGGCAAAACTATAGCTGATCCTCGTTCAGTGAGGAATTGTATACAGCTTTGAGGCATGCACACACAGATAAGAAGATTAATGTGACCTCGACCCACCTTTGTCACTCATTCCTTGCTCTTCTCTGTTCAATATGTGATCCCCCTAATGTTTTTTTTATTTCTCAAGCCTGTCTCCTTTGTCTTTTGGGATCTATGCAACAGCTTCTTCTCCTCCAATCATACCTCTGCTTTCTTTCCCCACCCACACTCTGCTCTTGCTGTGCTCCTTTTTCATTCATTCATATTTTACTGCTTCAACGGCAACAGTCAGTCATCCCATAGAGCTGGAGCTTTTCCTCATTATAATCTTTCTCGTTGCTTCTATTTGCATTCCACCAGCCTTCCTTCCTAAGGGAATTTCACTTTTATCTCTTACTCTCTCACCACACACTCCTCCCTCTTTCTGGTTGGTGCCGTCCCGTCTCTTCTCATGTGCAATTCATAGCTCTTCCTCTCCTCCTTCCCAATTCGTTTCTCTCTAGTTTTTTTTCTCTCCTTTTCTGTCTTGTTTCTTTCTGTCTTCCCCCCACAAAGTCTAGTAATGAGGTGTGACAAACCCTGCTACCATAGCAATAAGGTTTCGTAGCAACGCAGTAGCGGCAGCGTGGTGGTGGTGAGGGGTTAGACAGTTACCGATCTCCACAAACAAACCTCCCCTCAACTTTTATTTGATGACACAGAAACACCTAAAAAGCGCCCTTAAAAACACAACTTTAGCTCAAAAGATTCAGCAGTTAACAGGATGTTTTTTCTTTAAGGGTGTCTGCTGAACTGACAGCACAATCAACCCCTTCAGCTAAAAAACACAAAAATGTCTGCACGGAGGTGACAACTTTGCTAAAGGGATTTAAAAAATAAATAAATAAAAAAAAAAAATCTTTTTGACAAATTTAAGGCTCATGTGTTTTTTCCCCCCCTGTCACAAATCATATTTTCCTGTCCACTGTGACATTAAACTGCAAATGAGAAGAGAAATAAAAGTCACAACATCCCACACTACTCTTTGTCCATCTCAACCTCGATAAAACTGAAATTCCTGCCCCCGAAACGTCCACTGTGGAGGTCAGTGGTTAAACTGACCCGTCATCACCAGCAAAACTTTTCCTTTTAACTGAGAAAATCAAACCTTTACCGTCACCCAAATACTTGGGTGTATACAGTTTTTTGTAGCTCACTTTTCACATGTACTTCTCAGTGGCCAGACTTCTCCTTATACAGCAGACCCGCGAAGACCTTATTCCTTGATCATTTTTCACATCCAGAGGCACTTCTAAGGTTGTTGCACCTAAATCTACAATTCATCAGTTCAGCTGACTCAGTGGTTCATTTTCAAACACCTGCTGAAAACTCGTTTTATATGGTAGCCTTTCTTTAAACATCGATTTATATCATAAATAAGAATTCATGCTTGAATGCATCTCTGCATTTACTGCATTTAAGGCACATTTCTGATGTTTGTGTTTCATTCAAATCATGAAGCATGTTATAACTGTTAAGAAATGCTATAGAAAAAAAATGATTAAAATTCAGCCATGCACTAGCATTTATTATATGGATCTTATTGGATACAGTAAACCATTAGCATAACACTCTCTCTCAGTATTATGGAGTCTTTGTGGGGGCTGTTTGGATGCACAATCCATGTAGAAAAACACCATCTGTCCCTTGATTCCTCAGTCATCCCCCTCCCCATATGACCGCTATCCAAACCCCTATACTCTGCAAAACCCCCTGTCACATCCACACCCCACTCATCTCTAGTGTTTGACACAGACTTTTGGATAAGATATGGATATGCCCTGCCTGCCTCTCTGTACAGCGCTCTGTCTTCTACAACAAGCTGCAAAAACAAGCTTCTCCTTCAGGTTTCCTGGTGGATTGTGTGTCGTTTTCTTTCTCCAAAGTAAAGAGGCTTCAACAGCTGTACCTCTCACATAGTTTTTTCTAATTAGAGACTAAAACTGTGCTGAAAGATTTGTTCTAATCTTTGTGTACGTCTGCATTAATGTGTGTTGTTTTTTGTGTTTTTCTGTGCTTACTTTAGTGGACGTAGACAAGTTCCTGGAATTCTATTATACAAAGCCCAGACATCTTACTATTATTTGGAGAAGTGAAACTGAAAATGACAAATTTTAAGGCAGTGGAATGCCTACTATAACAAGTTTGTGGACAGAGATAATATTTTAAACTTACTCTATGATTTGACATCCAAATTTAACTGCAAGCAGTTCAAGAGGAAAACCGTCTTTAGCGAGCACAAATCTCCCCGACTCTCTATTCTGGCTTTCTCTTTTCTATTAAGGCAATAAGGAATGACCCAGTTAAGGAGGATATTTTGGTCAGTGGGGTTTTTTTTTTTTTTTTTTTTTTTAAATAACATATTATAATTCATTTGGGTGTTTGTAATTTTAGCAACTGCAAGAACAACCTTAGTGTTTTTTGTGGTTACAAATTAGACCAAGATAAGATACTAATTGCAGAAAAATAGGAGCAGAGAAACTGGGTAGCTCAGTGAACCCTGAGTGTTGCTGTACAACAAGAAGTATTCAAACTGCATTAATAATTTGGTGTGGTTTTAAAAGTACAGGAATGTTGGCAAATTGTATCCACATCAATATGATACGCTATAAAAGCGCAAAAGTGTAAGTCCATATAATCCAGTTTGTAACCATCATAAATGGTAAACAAAAGGCTATAACACATGAACACTGGTGAAGGGGAATCCTCAAACAAGCAGGATATTAAAAAAGGCCTAGATACTACACCTTATTTTCTCCCCGTTTACATCGTTCTACAAACACACTGAACACTTTTAACCTAGATGTTTGGAAACAACTGCACGGACAGTGTCCAATGCAACAGTTTGCCCTTCTTGAACCAACTCACTTTGTATACTGCTAAGCTAGCAGATTTTAGCATATTTGTTTTAGTAATTTACATTTGATATGAATAATTTGCAAAATAACTAGTAACCAAAGCTTCAACATAAAGGTAGTGGAATCAATTATCTTGCCCACTTTAAACACTGCCAAGTGGGTATCACTGCTAGGAAAAGTGAGGTTGACTATAGCTGTCAGCCTCCAGCCTAATTTACAAAAAAAGAAAAAGAATCAGCTAAATTTAAACTATTTAAAATAAGCAGTTAGTCTTTTGTTTAGTGGAAATTCATTGGAGCATGTCAAACGCTGACACAATACGCTCATGCACCCACCCAGCTGTGGCGGAAGTGGACAATACACTAGACAGCAAAAAAATAAAGATGTAAGGGAACAACAGAAACAGCGGTCAGAAAAAAGTGGGCAAATTGATGTGAACTTTGTTGTAGAGTGTTTTTTGACATGCACTGGATGGTGGGTATAATGAGGTCCTTGAGCAAATGAGCTTACATTCAGTATTACAGCCATAAATGTCGCAACGTCTTCTTGTCTAACAAGACTTTCTTTTCAAATCTCAATAAAGGGAAACTGAAATTCTTGCAAAACACATTTAAGCAAGGCCCCTTTTCATATGTTCCAGTCTGTACATCTTTTGATTATAAATGCTGTGTTGTTTCTGTTCTAGTTTGTCTCAGTTTTAGTTTGCATGACTATGGGCCTCCCAGCTTCAAATGTGTTACTTGTGTCAATTTCATGCTTGATTTCTCAGGGCTTTGTTTTAAAGCAGTGAGCTTGCAGACGGACGCTGAAATGGAGCAAGACTGAATGTTATCTGAAAGCTGGTCGTGTTAGACTTACTACCAAGTTTAACCATCATTGAATTTTTAAATTAAGCATACTTTTCTACTGCCTCTTATGCACAAACACATGGCACAGTGTTATACTCGGTATGTTGTACAGCTGAAGTTTAGTTCAGCAGTGAATATTATGGATATTCCCAATGGGTTACCTGGCTCTGTATCTTGCTCTGCTGTTTGAGGCGGAGGTTCTCTGGAGTGTCAGTCACACAGGTGAAGCTTGACTTGGGGTAGTGTCTGTAAAATAAACACAGAACGGCAGAGATTGTAAATACATAGTAGACACACATAGGCAGCTGCCAGCTTCCACTGAGACTCTCACTGTGACGCTCAAGACTAGAAAAACAGCACAAGTCAAGCAGTGTGCAGTCTGTGGCCCCACTCTGGGGTCATTTGTTATTCAAGGTGGTCCTGAGGTTGAGTTAAGAGCCCCTGCATACAAAAAGCATGTCAGTATAACACACAACGCTCTGTCAGTGAGAGCCAAGGTACTCTGAGAAAGAGGAAACTAGGTGTGGGCTCAAGGTTGCAATGTTTTGTGGCGAACCATAGCAGGTGTGGAAAAAAAACCCTGACACATATATGCACATATAGGCACACTAGAGGAACAGCATGCACCCAACACAGCAACAGAGTCAAAGAGATCATGGGCGAGTGTGAATGATGTCATCAGCAGCTCCTTTCAGCAAACCGCAAAGGGACCATTTTTCCCCCCTCAACTGATTCTGGGAATCTTCTTGGCAGTCTCAGATCCGTAACAACCATCGGAACTCCAGCTGCTTAGGAGAAAATGCTCTGTTTGGAAAACATACAGCAAATATAAATACTGTTTTGGTCAGCATAAGCATGCTCACATGCAGCACACCAAGCAAAAGCTGTTCATTACATACTTACATAATGACTGCATGAACTGCAATCACTAGTTAATGTGTGCATTTGCGTGTATATGTGGCATAACTCAGTGTTTTTATACACTGGAGGCTTCTGAGTACAAGTAGCCTTCAGGTCCACAAATAATTGTGCCTGCCAGTTCAGTGTGGTCCTTAAGGCTGCAAAAGAAGATGGCAGTAGTCCAGCAGGAGCGGAAGAGCCCAAACAGCTTATCTAACTGCTCATATGAACTGAAGTTCCCAGCCTGCCTCTTAGCACTGGGTGACCTCGAAAAATCTTTAACCAGTCTTCATGCCTCTGGGTAACCCACTTAGGCAATATGTTTACGGTTTCCTTGACAACAGCTAATTACAGCATACACCAGCTAATTTTACAAAGGGACAATTTTGGAGAACGGGAAGTAGAAAAAAAAAGTAGTCCGATCTGGACAACAGCAGAAACTGGAACTGGAATTTCACACAGAGGTATACGGCTCTCAATTTCCTGAAGCAACATTTATCTACACATTTAGATGTAGTGGTTTGCTATCCTAGCACCTAAGGCGAGGTGAGCTAATCAAATCATGCAAATTAAAGTACACTTTCACTGCTCTCGGACATATAGTGATAAAAGCAAAAAGGCATTTTCCTATAGAAGCGCACTAACCTCGTTTGTTTATCGTACACAAGCAACTCACAGCTGAGTGCATACATTAATTACCACATTAAATCCTAAATTAAGGAGCAAAAAAACCTTGTGGTCTAAAGGGAAAAAAGGCCATGGTACTATTGCTCTAATTTTTTTTTATCCATCAACAACGTTACAGATCCTTGACCCTATATAAATAATTTTTAAAGAATCTGTCCTTTTAATAGCAGTACTTTGTACATACTAGCAATTTTCTGAGAATATGCTAGTTGCACTGACAAATGCCTATTTGTATGGAGAAAAATTTTACAAACTGGCTGCTATCAAGCACCCCTACAGGTCATTTTACAAGCAATCTATCCCTTAAATTTGTCCGGGTATGTGTGCCTTTATCAAAGCTGGGAAACTAATATGTGCTTTTTGTTTCTAAAGCTGGGCGTGTCTAGTTTGCAACTGATCTGTGTTAACTGTGTTTATGTCACCTTTGTATCTGTAAACTGTTGCACTCAAGGGCCATTAAATTTCAGATACAAGCTTAGTGACTCAGTGAGATCTGAGAGGTGTGTGTGTGTGTGTGTCTTTCTGTCGGTGTGTATAACCAAGCTTATGATTCTGTGCAAGTTTGAGGCTATGAATGAGTCAAAAGAACACTCATCTGTCTGTCAGCTTGTATAACAAGGTAATAAGTCGCAAACGGAAAGGGGTGACACATGCACAAATGCTAAACAGGGAGTGATCAAAATGGAGGGGAGTGGGGTAGTCAGGAGGCCACGCATGTGTAATCACACACACACACACACACACACAAGCTGCCTACTGTGATGGAGGAGAGGCCTGTTTGAATAGTGGAACCAGGAGATGCTGTGGCCAGCTTGACCCTGTGAGACCTGGAAAGGTTGTAATGAATCATTCAGCAAGAACATTTCATCTACATTTACACAGCATCCTACTCAACAAGTTCAATGCGTAACTGAGGGCCAGCTAACTGTGAAATCTGAACAGCAGCCTCACAAAAATACACACAGAAACACACACACAGTTGCACTATGTGCAACAGATAACAGTCTCTGTCAGTCAGCTTCCAGCATAAAAATAAATCAACTTGAGTTATCTTGTGACAATGGACAATAGAGTTAGACAATAAATCAGATTTTAATATCAATTACATTTTTTTCTGCATCAATTATGAACTCAAAAATAATTTGCTTAAAAGGATTACTCGTTTGCATCCATTTTAGCCACGAAGCTCTCATTTCTACCCGGTGCTCGACCGTGGCCCAGGATTTTCTTCACCCCCATCTGTACCCGGAAACATTCAAACAGTGGAGGCGAGCCAACAAAGACTAGAGGTGCTATTGTGAGCCAGAGTCAAAAGACACAATCATCAAAACCTAACTAACTAAAAAGAACAGTTTTCAATATGATTTGGACTGTCATACTGACCAAAATAATAGTAATTATTATTTTTACTATAATCAGCTACAGTGTGACAATCAAGGGGATTTTTAAAAAACTTGTTGTTACATTTGTACATTAATTCCACACTATCACCATTATTATTATTGTTATTATTATTACATTAATGCAAAATTTAATGTAATAAATTTCTAACTGACACCTAGGACATAAGTTTGCAACTCTGCCCTCTTTGGAATGAATGAGCTTGTAGTGCTTATTAAACGTTTCCTTTTGAAGAGTTCCTGTCAAACTCTTTGATGCACTGATAGTGTGTGCTTGGCCGTGTGTGTTTGGGGGGGACAGCATGGTGAAACGCAAAGAGGGTGTGCCGTTTTATGCACATAAAAATGTAGACACAGATACTGGATACATATAAGCCCAAAGACTATGGGGGGAAAAGTAACAAGAGCCAGACAAATGGAGGCCTTACAGTTGTAGTTGTTGAGCTAATATACACCCACTTATAGTCAAGAGTTACAGTAATCTAAATCGCTCATTTTATGTAAACACAGTATGTATATTATGGAGGGTGGTTATTGGTTATGAGCGATCTCATGAGGGTGGCGAGATACTTAGACTATAGAGAAAATTGCCCAAGTCCAGGGGAAGTAAGGAAATTGCATTGTAAAAATAACAGTAAATCAAGGAATCATGAGACGCTATAACAACACTGTGTGATGCTCAAATGAATATCACATCAGCCATTAAGGTAGTATCCTATTATTTGGCTCCTTTAGTCTCTGGGGGGAATAATGAATTATCCTCTCTACTTATCCTCCTAATCTCCCACCACTTCTAACTATCTAACCAGAGATTCTCAGGGAGGAGGTGGATGGGAATACAGAGAAAATAAACAGCGCCTATATCACTTACTAAGTACAAATATAGAGGAGTAATGATAAAGTCGTTATCCCACAGAATAATAACAGGGGATGCGAGCTGCATTCCTTTCTTGAAGTAGCAGCAAGCTCTTCCACTGATGATGTTTACTCAAACAAGGCTGTTTTAAACAAACGGAAAGAGGCATAATAAACAGGCTCTGAAGGGCCTCCCTGCCTTACCAAGGGAACATCGGAAGCAGAAATTGGGAAAAGAAGAGGCCATTTTAATTTTTAGTAAACAAATGGGATAGTAGGATGAGATGTCACCTGCTGTAGGAGGCCAACAAGCTAAATATAAATGTGAATGAAAGTAGTGATAAGAGTCTGAGTTACACACTAAAACAAGAACAGATGTTTTACGACTAATAACAGTCATTAACATTACCACATATTATCATCATATATAAGCTTATAATTAGGCCTATAAACAGGTGTTTACACTCATTGTGGCATAATTAGACCTCAGCTGAAATCAAGCCAACAGGGAAAGTCAGAGGAGGCACAGTTGTACGAGTATACAGCACCTGTATGGCTTTATTTTAATTGTATTTTAATTGTTCTGCTTACATGGCAGTTTTGATTTATATACAGGGACAACAAAAATGCAGAGACGATGTAAATGTTTCAGTAGGAAAAGCTCAAGTATTAACTGTTAAACATCAGAGGTTCAATTCAATTTGGTTGGCTCAGTTTCAAAGTCCGCTATAGCTTGGAGCTATTGTTTGTTGCAGTAAGACCTTTGCTTCTCCAGTTAAAAAAGGTCAAAATATGATGATAGATACACGTGTCTACTGTATAAACTGGCTGACCTACACAGCAGTTTAACCCAGCAATGATTTGCATTTAAAGGCAGGTTTTGCTTATCACATTTGGCAGTTAATCATTTCTAACTCGCTTTCTCAGGTTAAATTGCAGCTTCCCAAGCAGTTAGACATATTCCAACTTCAGAGAAGAAAGGGAATCAGATTCAGATCAATGAACAGAAAGACAAGGAAACTTTTTTTTTTTTTTTTTTAAATGGCCACACCAAGCTGCCATCACCTGTATTACCTGACAGGGCACATGGTTGTTAGCAGCTTATGTGGAAATTTAAAAAAAACATGCACAGGCAACAACTTTTAGCAGCCAAATACACTGAGAAGAAAAATGTGGTTTCAAAACAAAAACTGAAACCATAACATTTAGACTTTTCCTTAGCATTTGTATGTTTCTACCAGTCGATCAAGTTAGACTCTACACTCCTGTCTGTTTGGACTGTGAAGCTCTAATCAAATGAGCAAATCAGTTCAACACTTGGTTTTCTTATCTCAGTTTCTTTTTTTAAAAGGGGTGGGGCAGGGAATTTCTCAAATGCCTTTCTTACTCTGTTTCTGCACAAATACGCACCATGACATGAAACATACGACATGTTCGTGTCCCTCCAGCTGCTCGAGAGATACTGCAAAGTCCTTCTGGCTTGACAGTCATCTTGAAACCTCTGGCACTTACTTGCAGTTACTTTGAAGCATTTAACTCTGGAATGGCTATATTATAATGTCAATGTACACCCCCAAAAACCCCAACGAACAAAGGTTTTAATCACAAAGGAAGCTAAATCCTACATGTCACTGCTGACAATAACAAGCATACTACTTCTATTTTCACACTGAAGTTGAAAGTGACAATGGTAGCATGTTGTCTTGAGTCATTTCCTCAACAATAAAATGGCAGTTCAGCAAAAGAGCTTGTCAGAACATGAAGCCACGCCTCCTGCCTTCATTCCCTCTCTGAACTTCCACTCAAGCTCTCACAAACACACACAGAGGAGAAGAAAATCATTATAAGTAATGAGAGAGGGGAATTCCACAAATTCCTGATGAGCCTTTAGTGCTTAAGCGTGAGCGGACATGGTAGTTTTCAGTGTCCGCCTGTGTCACTGTAGAGGAACTTCAGGAATTTCCTTTGTTGATACCCCCCCCTTCCCTACCGAGGAGAAGGGAGGGAGGCACTTTCCCACACCACATCGAGGCGTTTTCTCTGAAGGGGGAGCTGGAATAGTTACAGATAACTGGCAAGGGAGGGAAAGAGGGGCCTTAGTTGGGTCGCAGCACACACACACAAACAGAGTCCCATTTCAGGCTGTGGACAAATTAAACACTGCTGTCACTCTGTCTTAGGGATGCAAGCTGAATTGCTTGAGTGCAAAACATGAGACATGTTCACTGACACACACAAAGTGATTAACTTAGGGACAACTTACGCATTGCAGTATGGTCTCTTCTCGAAGCCTTTGTAATTCTTCATGTTTAGAGTCATTTTGCAGACCTCGCAGCTGAAGCATCCTTTATGCCAATACTGTCAAAACAGAGAGGACACAATAAGTTAAGCAAGGAGAGTTCGATTTATTTTACTTGTATACAAAGAGACGCTGATACATCAGCAAACAGAGGGAAGTGAAATGACAGAGTTAGGACAACTGTTAGGTCTGTGTGAAAAAAGTGAAGCAATGCAGTTTTGCGTCAGCTGGCACTGAAGAGTCAGAAACAAAACAACTTCTCCTTTGCTACCAAACTGTATTTGCTATTTATAAGCAGGTCTCGATACTCTTGTGTGAGCGAAAAAAGGATAGCTGTACAGTTTATGTGTTTATTTTCTTGTGGTCACAAATTTTCCCACCTTTACCATAAGCTATGAGGTTAAGTGCAAAGAAAGCAGCGATATACTTGCTACAGAGACTCTGCTTGGTGTGCAGGCCACTCTTCGACTCCCCTACCATTGTCACAAGATGTTGTGCCTCCATCTCCCTAGCCACCCTTTCTCCCTTCCTACCACCCACTCGCCCTCATGCCTCCTCTTCTTCACTCTTCTGGCACTGGGCTGATTTGCAGCCTGAAGATTCAGAGAGAGGGACTGAAGATTGGAGAAAACCGAGAGGAGGGAGGAAACATGAAAGTAAGGAGCTGGAGAAAGCAAGAGGAAGGGAGCATGTTTGGGAGGGGTGGGCAAGAGAAAGAAAACGCCAGACAGTGAAGCAATGATCTGGCTGTTCCTACTATCATCAAGGGAATGAAGGGAGGAGTGCAGAGACATAAAGAGAGAGTGAGAGAGAAAGAGTGAGTCCTTATTAACATGGCCTTGAGGCGCTTTGCCCTCCCTCTCTTTCTTTCACCTACTCTTTATCACTTTCTACACCAACTGCCCATACACTAAACACTAGTCTTCCAAACAAACAACAAGGAAAAGATGATTCAAAGCAGAGGATAAAACCACAGAAGCATATGGAAATACAACATCAGGTTCTGTTGTGTGCAGTGCAATTTGATGTGTTACAGGGTGCTTGGAATAAATCACTATGATGTTGAGGGTTATTGCATATGTACGCTGTAGATCGACAATGCAATCCTGGCACTATTATGAGTGGAAACATGCAGCACAATGGAGGCTTCAGAAATTATCAAATCAAAAGATATGGCTTCAGGTTGATTTTGAGATCAACTTTTGTTCTGTCTGGATGTTAACAGCCCACCCAGAGAGGTGTGTACTGACAACAAGCAAGTGTATGAATGTGTTTGGCATGGGTGTTTGTAGCTGGGGGTAAGCAATACTGTACTGAGGCATACAAAAGAAGCAGCACACAGTGGAAATCAGGCCTCGGCTCTCCTCAGCGGAGCTGTGATCCACAGCCAAACGCACTGTGCCAAGCCTTCGAATGCAAACTCTTTATCCCACTACAACCCAGCTGAAGCCTGGGGGAACTGCAGATGGACACATCATGTTACTTTTTCCTGCTCTTCCTTCTTCTGTCTAGAACTACAATGGCAAATCCCTTCACAAACAACAGCATACTGCAAGCAGATTCCATTTCCTATAGCTTCAGCTGATCTGCAGCTGTGCTGGCAGCCATCTTTGCAGGTTGATCTACTTCCAACGCAGCAGCCCAGTATCATAGTCACTATTAATTAAGTCTCTATTATTATCCCTTCCAAAATCCCCCAATTCTTTAATAATAAACTAGTAATAAATTATCCATGTGGAGCCTAAATAGACAAGTGTAAATGAAAATTCTGTTGAGTCACACACGTGAGCGGAGCATGGACCTTGATACTCCCGTTGTTTCCTAGAATAAATATTGACCTTGAGAACAAGTTTGCTGAACTCATCTGTTTAGCAAACTATCCCTAAGTCTTGCCCAACCTGCTAACCGAGATTCCACCATGGCAACCCTCATCAAGCGAGACCTTTGCTTGGACAACATGACCCTCTCGGGTGGCAGACACCCTACTCAGGCAGTTCAAAGCAAACAGTCTCTTCAACTGATCTAATCACTTGCAGACGACTCTAAACAGGTGCCGAAATGCACCGAGGAAACAAAGCCTTTTGAAGAGGGAAAATTATACAGCTCCAGCAAGATCTAAATATTCAAATTTATAGCTTAAACATCATGGACAGAGTAAAGGACCACCAATGACACTTTAAGTGCTTAGTATGCATTTAGCCTACTGCCCACAGCAGACATATCTTTAGGCGTAGCAGTGGCCATAGATGACATCATTGTGGTCACTCAACACCAATATGTGATACAATGCAAATATCAGCCACTCATCTTAGTGTAATCTGAACATTCTGAGTAATGGTATGATATATGAACACACTCTTTATATATTGACTTTACTTGGGCAGTTCACCTAGTTACAATGACAGTCATCCAAGTGTGTTTGGTTATTTTTTTCCCCATCTATCTGAGAGAACAGAGTGATTGATTTACTAGTGGAAAACCCCCTCTTTATTTGGAAATGTGTCACCTGCCAACTGTGGCTGGGCATTTTATGCATTAAAAAAAAAATACTAGTTGATATTCTTCCACAACTATTTAACTTCGAAGTTCCCCAACTATCCCAAAGGCAGATTTGGAGCATGATAACGTTACCTGGTACATTTCATGCTGGATTAAGTTCTCTCTTACTGCTGAGTTTTTTATTTCCTCTGAAGTCAAATGTCAGAATTGGAAGTGACATCATGCCTGAGCTGACTAAGTTTCAGTGGTATTGTTAGAAAAGCAAGGAAAACAGGATTTGTTTTGTTTCTAGAAATCTATCCCTGGCAATACAGTGCAACACTGTTTTTGTGGGTTTAAAGACTACTGACATACATTCAAAGGTAGAGCCAGGTAGGTTCTCTGTGAATGGCGTATTTATCATGTCACAAAAACACTGCGTCTAAGTTTAATTCCTGTATTCTTTTGGTAATGTGCATCCAACCAGACACTGGTTAAAAGAACATTTGTATTTTAGACAAAAAGTAGATAAATACTGAGGTGAAAATATTATAATGTTTTACAACTTAAATATCATGGTCATCCCTGGTCCTAACCAGCTAAACCAAGGCCTTCCCTATCTGCTGGGTGACCAGTGGCTCTCCACACTAGTACACCAACCTCCATCTCCACCATGCTGGACTGCAGCTTTTTACATGACCTGGAGAGCTACTCTAAACAAGAAACTGCAGCAGGTGCAAAACTGCTTCAGGTACTGCTATGCCACGCTTGCTGAACAAGGACTAGTGTTGGTAATGGTAGTGGCATTGAACAGCAGGATTAAAGACTCACTGGGAGGCAACTGATAAGATCCCTTTTGCAAAAACCCATACATGCACATAGCACCATGGGTGAACCCTCAACTCTACCCTGCCTTCTTTAACACCACCAACAAACTGCTATCACCTATCTATGAAAAGATGAGTAGGTAGCAGTCAGAAAGAAATGGACAAACAAAAATATGTGAATGAGAGAACCATTCCAGCCATGTGTTAGCGAGGTCATCCTGCAGTTAGCCCTGTCCAGCTCCAGGAAAACCTGGCTCTTGGGTGCCAAGACAGGATCTGGCAGTCAGCTGTAAAATGAGGACACTGCAGAACTAGAGCCCTAGAAATAAAACACCATTTAAAAAAAATGCTCCGTCTCCCAGCATCAGCACAGCTCAAGGGCAGTTGTGTATGTACGCCTGTGTCTGTGTGCGCGTGAGAATTAACCCTGTCGGTGGATGTGTGTATTACTGTATGTAGGTTATATGTGTTAATGCATGATGTATTTGTGTCAGCGTGGACCCAACGATCGAGCCAAGAGCCGAGACGTTCACTCAGCCTCACAGCTTCCTCTCAGTAAGAGTCAAATACAAATGGACCAAGTAAAATCCCATGTAGATGTATGGAAGGTCAGTAACCCTTTAAACACACAGTCTATGCAGACAAATCAGGAGGAAACTTACTGAGAGTCTGACCAGATGCATATAATAACATACTAAAAATATTCTGATAGAAGTGCCCGGCTTAAAGCATAAAGCAACCCCAGGCCTGTTGTGCCAACCACTTCTGATTTCACATTTAGCACATAATTAGGGCAGATTACTCACTCACCATGGTCCAATAGTAAACCAAACAAAACCAAATGACTGCTTTCAATAGATTTCAATAGAAATATTGGTTGGAAACACCATTTGGGCACCTCCTAAGTGACACTAAAGCAGACACATTTTCAAGGGCTTGGCTGGTGTTACTTTCCCCATTTGATTAATTGACAGTCTCATTATCACTTTAACACAAAAACAGTTTCATTACTATCTATGTTCCACATTAAGTGGATATGCATGTTTTCGTCCTCTGTTAATCACCATATTAGACATGAGAGGAATTTAGTGCACCCAAGGATGTCTCCTGGTACCATAATGAAATATTTCCCTACCTATGGCTAAATATCCAGAAATTAAACTTCAGTACAGACAATTTGGGAAGTGGTATAGTTTGAAACATGCTGTGAGGGCTGTTTGTCTCCAACAGTGGCCAAAACCAACACACCACACACCACAGTGCACAGCAGCTCTGCGAGTGTGAATGATTAGTCTTCCACAAGATAGCACATGCCTAAAGACAAAGTTCACACATCTGGCTGGTGCTATTATAGGAAACTAACGAATTAATGTAGGCAGGTTAATTATTAGCCCAAATGATACCATTAATTTTTACCCAGGCCCAGGGCATTGCTGCTGTCCAGCAGGCAGACTGTGATTTGACAGGCTATGCCCCAGTATGCTATTAACTTTTCAAACTACACCAGACTGTAATGTGTAACATACACATATTTCTGTGTGGGAAACAAAACTACAGAAAAGACAAGAGACAGAGTTGATAAGAAATGCCAAAACACTTCTGCTTAAGTGTAAATAATCTGCATATAAATTCTCTAATCATGTGAAATGTGCGAAATTTTGTGTGATTTGTTGAGGGTAAAAGGTTATTTACATTTATATTAGAAGAAAAAAGATGCTTTCATTAATAATAATTATATCCACTAGTTTTTAATTTCCTGCAGCAGACATTTGTATATCATTAACTTTCTCTAACCTAAGATTCTTAGATAGGTCATTTAGATTTTTGTAAAACACTTAGTGGCATCTATCTATTTGAATACATGCAGGAATTTATCAATGTTGTCCCTTGGTGCAGACAAAAATAAACAATATATGTTGGCTAATGTTCACAAGAAACTCAAAAATGCTGAAAATCACATGGCCAGGTATTCTTTTTGAATTTTGCTATGTACCATGAACAGATATTTCCATGTTTTTTTCAGGTTCAAGAAAATTCATGAACATGAAGAACCCAGGTGAGCTGGTATGGAAAAAGCCAGAACATACTTCTTCGCATTCCTTTAAAATCATTTTGGTCAATAATGTGACCAAAAAGCAGCTGAAATCTTGTTTTTTTTTTTTGTTCAGAATGCAATCATGATCAAGTCATCAGATGTACGGGAAAACTATTTTTTCCCTCTTTTTCCCCCCCCCAATCCCTTCTAAAGGAAATCAAAAATATGAACAAAAATTGTGGCCCAAGAATCAAGATGTAAACCCCTATAGTCAAGAAATGTGTGCAGGTACAAATAAGCATGCAATAGTTTGGGACAACCAACCCCACATGTGCACTGGCTTCTTCACACCAAGCAGAAGTACCTGGCCACTTGATGTCGAGTCAACACCTCAGGCGATTGTGAGTTTAATGCGTGTTTGTGACTCTGAGTCATCAAAGAGATGTGACTGGTGGCAGTGGCTGCATAGAGTCCTCAACTCTTGTGACATTTGGATAACATGAATCAGCTCTCAAAATAATCTGTCTAAATATAGGCAAAGGCAGCAGACAGGTTCCTCTGAAACTAAGGTAAGGAGCAAAAATTGGAGCAAGAATAACAGAGTGAAAATACAGACATTACTTTACCTTTAAGATTTTTTTTTAAACCAACACAACATTGTGTAAGCTTTTGCAGAATTACAAATTTGCATAAGACTAACCTACAAACAGTAAGGCGTTTAATGTTAGAAGTAGGGAGACTATTCTGCAAGCCAGAAAATTGTTATTGTGATTTTTAATAGGAGCAATTTATAAATTATAAACCACATCTCGGTACATAGGAAGAGTTTATATCACGCTCAAGTATAAACTGTACAGAGCACCTCAATTTGAACAACATTACCATTAACCAGATTTCTAACAACTTCCAGGGATTGAAAGGGAGCAGTACAACTGAAGCTCCCATCTTAGACACTATTGTTCCACAGCAGAGGAATTACACACTAACCACATTGTTAACAATGACAGTAAAAAAAAAATGGGACACAAGTTAGCCATAACTCTAAAAGATTGGTTAGAGAGCAACAAAACGTGTCAGATGCGAAGTTATAAACCAGACATTAAGAAAGAAATTGCTCTTTTTTTTGAAACGACCAGATTGTTGATGAAAACAGCAGTTCTTCCAAGCAGATAACAGGTGGTGTTGGTCTACTGCTGTAAATGTTTATGTTTAGCATATTAGTTTGGACCCAAGTTACCTTATTAAAAAACTAAAGTCACACTATAACATTAACTGAGCAGAGACTGTGGTAGATCTGTTTTTTCAATGGAGACTGGTCGCTTTTACAAGCACAGCGCCTTCAGTTCCTCGTTTGAAAGAGGTGTCTAATGGTGGATAAAGCAGTAAAAAACTTCTAAATATAGCATACATAAAAGCAGTATTGATTTTTCAGGAGGATAAATGCAATTTGGTGTGGACTCACTCCACAGCAGTATGTTGGTTAGCTTCTGAGCCGTTAACCATCATTGTAGGTAACACACAGACTGTGGATCAGGTCCTCAAACAGTCCCACTTCAAAGAAACCAAAACGTGTCATTGGGAAACTGCCTGCTTTTATGAATAAACTATGAAATGTTTATGAAATGTCAGTTTTAATTAGAGTGACTACAGTATTGCATGTCTATATTTACTTATATGAATAAAGAGATATCCATAGCATCATATATTGCCATGTACAAATATTAAGACATGATATTTGTTCAATTTTCCCCAGTTTGCGAGAACACTATTCTCACAGTTTAAATATGTGAAATCATTTAAACATAAAATAACAAATAAAAAGCACTTATAAAGCACATACAATGCTATTTCTTCTTTGTTTGCGCCATAAAAGTTTTCCATTTCATTTTCATATAAATAAAGTTCCCATCTGGCTTTGGCTAATCTGTATATCTTCTGGCTTTCTGTCAAAAGGTTGCTTGTTCAGAGTTAGGCTGAGACTTACCTACTAAACTTGATACCATGTGGGAGATAACTGGTTGCATAAAAGCTGTGTCTGACATGCTTCAACAAATAAATTCCAAAGAACAATCAAAATATGTTGACCCAACTAACAGGCTCACAAGCCAAACATGTCGAAGTAGTGCATGTTTTACATACTTAATAAAACACAAGCCGTCATAACGCACATTCTCACAATATTTACATACATTTGAAAAAGCTTTAAACTTCAGAACTAATTAACCAGTTCAGCTAGTTTGTGAACACAACCACACATACGTCACAGTTAATTATTAATGAACCCCCTTAAAGATGTTCAAGAACTTTCATTTCACCTGTGGGTGGGAATAGTTTGCATATTTCAGTCATACAAAACGCAGACAGCATGCGGCAATGATAAATTCACAGACACTCCTGCAAAGCTTGTTTGAGTGTTTCTGTGACTCTGCACAGATACTCAGTTTAACTTGAAAATCCACACTTCCCGCTAAAGTGTTGAATCTATCGCTTAATAAAACACACCAATAATTTTATTTATCCAAGAATTGCATATCAACTTAAAGTGAACCTAGTGTAATTTGCATATTAGCCTGTGCTTTTAAAAAAACACTTCCTTGTTAAAAGTTTCACTGGCTACAGTTCAAAAGCTGCCCTCAACTCAAGCGACAAAAAGCCACTCTGGTAGATATGAGTCGGACACTAGAGCCAAATATGCATCTCGTCTCATTACTACCAGCAAGCATTTTAGGTAGTCAAAGGAAGCCAAATGACAAGGCAAAACCGTTACCAACAACAGCTTGAACTAAAATTCACTTCCTGTCTTTACGTGTGTTCGGCTGCCCGCGGGGCCCTACCCCGCTATACAGGAATGCAGCTGTCAGACAAAAAAGCCTATGTGGTTTAGCCTCTCAAAAGAGGGATATTAAAAGAAGAAGCTTGTCAGGTTAAGATACTTGGTTTAGATTAAAAACACAGACGTGTCAGAGCCCTTAGGCCCCTGAGCATTCACCTGAGCTAGCCTGGTACATGAAAAAAAAATCGTCAACTCTGCTGCTTAAAACAAAAATAGAATGGCAATGTGTGTGTGTCCCATGGAGAAGGGGAAAGGGAGGTTGTTTTGGCATGTCTAAAAGGGGGTGTGCGCTGATGTGGAATGGCAGCTAAGACAGACGGCGGGCTACACTTCTGTGCTCAGTTCAGAGAAGGGAGATAGCACAGCAGGCCACTGACAGAGCACGTTTTACGGGAGTGTCTGTCTGCTGGAATGCACGCTCCTTCAGGCTGAATTACAGCCTGCATTCAAGCTGTAGTTCAGGCAATTTGACTCACATTTACACTAACTTTCTAGCATGCTAAAATGACTTGTACTACGGTGCTTATGCAGGAAGACGTAAATGTATTTGAATACAGGGCACTTGGGGAAGACAACCGTGAAGCAGAGCAGTAACGTATCCAGTCAGAGCTGATGTTCCTTTAGATAAACTGCTTTGTGAATGTGTCTTTCTACACCTTTTCCATCTGTTAAGCCCAACAGATAAGACAACTCAACAGGCATTGATTTTCATTGACCATTCAGACTTCCATTAGACAAATTAGGTACTTGCCCCAGGTCCTTCTTTGGTCAAATATAACCTATGGATCATATATCAAGCAACCAGACCCCACCCTGATCAACACAGCGAGTGCAATCTCTCTTTACAGATTTACATTAGAAGTGATTGCTGCAATATTCAACACATTCTGGACACCTTTGCCTCATCAAAGCTGAAAGGGAAAGAGGAAGACGACGTGCAGCACCATGTTAACACCAGTTGTTGCTCCCGTGTAAATTGGTAGCTTCGACAGATCCACTGTGGCTACAATTGATTAGATTATACGTCTACTTTGCCTAAAAACTAACTAGGCTGCTCGACTAATCATCCCTGACCTGGATTAGCTAGTGAATTAGACACAGACACGTCCACATCAGTCCACGTTGTCTTCAACAACAGTGGACACGAAAAATATGACAACGGGACTATACCGTTCTCTTTATAAATCGTGCGTTAATAGATAATTTTTAAATACACACAATGAATCTGCCATCGAGGTTAAAAACGTTGATTGTCAGGTTTCGTCAAAGCAGCGGTTGGAGCCAGGCCTAGACTAGACATGGCTCTCCGGAAGCACTGTGAAGTGCTGGTTGGGGTAAATCCGTACCACAGCTTGAGGCTATCATCTTTGGGACAAAAATACAAATTCCGGTCCCTTAAGATAACCCACCAATACCACAATGCGGTTTAATTTGATTTTAGTGTACGCACTGTTGTGCCGTCGCCTTCCAGACGTGAGTTAGCCGTTAGCCTGCAAGGCTAGCGAAATACCTGTCCAGCTGGGGTGTTCGATTCATTCACAAAAATATGTGAAATTTGTAGTTTTTGGGGTGCTGAAATAAGTTGAGTCACTGCACCACTCCACGGCAGTATATCAGCATTAATTTAAGAAAGAAAGATACAAAAACGAGAAGGTTTCGGTTCTTACCTTGTCCAGACAATTCACTTTTTCCGTGGGGTAAACGACTAGATTACATCTGCTACACAACGGATTCATGTTGGAGGAATGCTCTTCTAGCTAGTTAGCACAGAAAACGCCGATGATACTGGTCGTAGCTGTGTGCCGTCGAGTGTTTGCTCCGAAAAACAGCTATAATGTATGATTAGAAGCAGTAGCAGACCAACTCTAATCTAGTTGTATGTAGGAAATCCAGGAGGTTGTTGTCGTTGTAGCTGCACAGCTGGCTGTCAGTCCACTAACCAGAGACGGAAAGCGCGCTCCCGCCGCCCCCCTCTCTTCCTCCCTCGACTGCGCGTGTCCGAGCTGAAAGGGAAGAGGTTGTGTAGGAGGATCCGTTTTTTTGTTTTTTTTTATGTTTGTTTTTATTTCTGAAAAAGAAAAAATATTACTACAAAATAAGGAACGAGAACATTCGTACATTTATATATTTAACTGGGACTATAGCACTGTTTTACTTGGAAATGAAGCAACATTATTTCAGTTTTCTGTAACAGTATGAAGGTCCAATCGTCGCCTGTGCATTTGCATATCAAACTTAACCGTATTTGCGCCATCTGTGCTCGCATAGAAAACTTGTGCGATCATCTTTATAGGGTTTTTTCCCTTTTCTTTTTTTGTGCTTCACCAGTCCAGTTTTCTCACATCAAATTTTACACATCTGCCACGTTCACTGCACTACATGCCCTACTTCACTGCTCATGTGATCCTTTTGTTTAGAGTGACATCTGCTGACAAAAGAGTTGCACTGTATCTGCGTATCGGCCTACATTATTTAATGTGTGTAGCCAGCTGCAACATTACTATTCGTTTACACTTAT